CAAATGTGGAGCTCCAAAACATACATGTCACAGTTAGCAAATCATTCTCGGTTCTGTACCATTCTTCCTCATAACTGTCATCAGGACCATGCAGAGAAAAGTGAGACATGCAACTCAACTCTCCGGAAGCCATAAAATAGACGTCTGGAGGCATGCAGTTGCGAGTCCCTTGTATGAATTCTGTAACAAGCAGTCCCTCCTCCAGCTTCCACTCGTAAGCGAAAGCCGGGGTCACGGGGCTATATTTCACCATCATATAATCATAGTCAGATTGTGTGATTTTAATGCTATTATAGCAGGAAATTTAACTTATTTTCAGCTTGCACATCAAATCTCTGGCAAGCAACTTGACCTGGCACAGGTCTGACCACAGAAACCCGTGTGTGAATTTTCTACCCTGTCCATCTACACAACACAGGGGTATGGTGAAAGTTTCTCTCTGTATGGTTCCTGATGCGGACACAGAATGAGTGAACCTCTCACCCAGCACGGGCTGGGGTGAGAGAGAATCTGAGCGTAATACAGAGTGGGTGGCCCCAGAATCTACAAGAAATTCTACTTCCTGATTACAAACTAACATTTTATACAAGGGTAGTGATTTATAAGGCGCGCTATTTAAATGTACATATGTACCAGCTGGTGACACAGAAACCGTTCTACATGCTCAAAAGTGTGATGTATTAAAGTGTGTGTGTCTGTGTGTAAAACACTTTCTACATCAGTGTGTGTGTGTATGTGTGTGTGATTTTCATTTCCCTGTTCTGATGAGGTGGGCAAACCACAGCCTGAAGCGTTCTCTGGCGTCCTTTCCCTCCGGTCTCAGTCTGCCTGCACCCACCACTGGCCCTGGTCACTTGGTCGTTTTAGTGTTGATGATGTTCGCGTCTTGGATAGCCTTGGTTAGGGCAATTCCGCTTCCAGTGTCCAAGCTTACCACAGGAAAAGCAGGCATCTAGGTCTCCTCACCACTGCTGTCGTTGTTGATCGCGTCGTCGATCACGTCTTCCCCCCGGCCTCGGCCGCGCCAGCTGCCTTTACAGTGGAAGCCACCCCGCGGGTTCGCTGTGGCCTTTTACAGAGTTAAGGCTGCGTTGTGGAGGTTGCCGGTCTGTTTTTCCTCTTTCTTGCTCTTTCCTTTCGTCAAGGTGGTTCTGAGCATGGCGTCGTAGTTCCATTAGTCGAGGTTCATTTTCCCTCCCCACTTGCGAACACCTTACTTCGGCTGCCACATCTGATCTTAGTCCCCGTAAAATATGGCCGCAGAGATGGTCCTCACATGTGGAGGCGGTGACGCCTGTCATGTCATCCTTTGGTATTCCACCATTAGCTTCAAACACATTTGTCATACGAAGTATGAAATAATCCACAGATTTGCCCTGTCTTTGCTTGTAAGCCTGACAATATCCATGGTTTTCTTCATGCTCGTAGGTCAGGTGTCTTACCCCCAGCGTAGGGTCAGGCAAGGAATCCAGATCGGCATCGGCTTTCAGGCCCTGCAAAACAGCTTGTACTAGGGCATAAGGAGAAGCACAAACAGTGTGTGAACAGGGAAATTATGTTTTGTTCTCCATGTTATACGGAGGTGGAAGAGGCGCTGAGGCAGATTCTGCGTCCGCCTCCCTTCCATGCACTTCTCTAGGCAACTCTTTCAGAGCTGCTTTCTTTTCCCTCCTTTCTGCTTCCATCATCCACTTTTTCAAACATTCCTTCTCATCGCTTACCCTATGCAAATCTACAGTGTTAACTTTCCCTTATTTCAATAATTTCGCTTCCTCCTCCCGCAACTGTTTCTCTACTTTCTTTAACTGGTTAACATTCAGCGATCCCTTCCCGGGAAACCCGTTTACTTTTTGCCACTTAACAACATATTTCATACACCCAATTCCCCATTTCTTAACCATACAGTCAAATATTGAGTTTTGTCCCTGGCTGCCCGGTGGAACTTCTGCTGCTCTACTGGATCTAGATCCCATTTTACTACACGAGGCATCCCCCGTGAGGTCCTTGCCTTCTACCGACCAAGGAACGAACAGCGCCACTCCGTGCACTATAGGAATGGACTCCGACAGTGTACCCAAACCGCTGTCCCTGTGACGTACTTGGACCGAACACAGGTCTGGGCCGGCTTCTCCCCAACAGCGCGCTCGAGCCAATGTCCTTGTGATGGACATCTCTTTTGGCTCTCAGCGAAGGCGGTCGCACTTTTCTCCTCTCCTGCCCTTATCTTCCCTGCTTAGCTTCTTATGTCCTTGTCTTGTCTTGTGTTTTTACTTACTTTTCCCTGGAATACTCTCTCACAGTCTGTTCTCTAAAACCTAAAAGAGGAATTATGGATTTGATCAACTGGTCTCTGAATGCAATTGACACCCCTTCTCAACGAGAAGTCTGGGCTCGGGTGAGCCTGACTGCTGAAGATATTTACCTATTCGG